CCGCCTACCTTGCAGGCGCTGGGGGAGGGGGGCTCTGCCCCTCACCAGGCCTCTGGGCCTGATCTGCTGGTGGGTCGCAGGTCTGCCTACCTTGCAGGTGTGGTTGGCAGCTCTGTCCCTCCGTGGGCCAGTGAGCCTGTTCTGTTGGTGGTCACAGTTCTGCCTACCTTGCAGGCACGGGGGGAGGGGGAGGCTGTGCCCCTCAGGCCGCTGGGCCTGTTCTGCTGGTGGGTCGCAGGTCCGCCTACCTTTCAGGTGCGTGGGGCGGCTCTGCCACTCTGCAGGTTGTTGGGCCTGACCTGCTGGTAGGTTGCAGGTCTGCCTACCTTGCAGGCATGGGGGTGGCTCTGCCCTTCCGCAGGCCGTTGGGCCTGTTTTTGCCGGTGGGTCGCAGGTCCGCCTTCCTTGCAGGCGCGTGGGGTGGCTCTCAGTGTACAGTTTTATACAACAAAATATTGATTTCTAACATTGTCTTAGAGCCTTGTTCATCATAAAATATGTTCATTTCCCCTCACAACAGTATTAAAGTGTATAGTACAGTATTAACAATTTGCACATTATTATACAACAAGTTCTATGAGTTTGATTACTTTAGATACCTCATGTATTGAAAATTTGCATTATTTGGGTTATTTTTTTGTAATTGCTTATTTTACTTAGCATAATTTCCTTAAGGTTTACCCATGTTGTAGCATGTCAGAATTTTTTTTCCTTTTTTAAAGACCGAATAATATTTTATTGTGTATAAATATACACAAAACACATTTATTCATTCATTTAGTAGTGGACATTCAGGTTACTTCCATGTCTTCATTCTTGTGAATAATGATACAGTGAGCATGAGTGTTCTCCGAGATCTAGTTTTCGGTTCTTTTGTATACATACCCAGAGGTGGAATTGCTGGATTGTATGGTAGTTTCCTTTTAAATTTTCAAAACTCTCCATGTCATTTTCCATAGCAGCTGCACTAATTTACAGTCTCACCAGTAGTGCACCAGGGCTCCCTTTCTCCACATCCTACCAATACTTGTTTTTTTTTCTTTGTTGGTTTCTTTCTTTCTTTGACAGATTTTTGTTTTGTTTTTTTTTGGCTTTAACTCAAGTCCTCACATCTCTTCATGTACTATTTTAGTAATAGCAGCTGATGTTGTCTGTATTCCTCTCTTTCACTCCCTTTAATTCACATTCCCCGTTGCTGATTGAGATTCTTTTGAACATATTTATAACCATGTTATAATAATTCATTCGATTCATAATGGTTTCACTTTACACAACAAAGCCCTATTTTCTTAGCAGAACATACATGATTTTTTAAGGATCTGAATCATCAGACATCTAGCCTTAATGCTTGTTCCTCTTTTTACTACCAAATTACTACTACTAGTAATTAGTGGTTAATAATTCTCCAAATCCACAAAGAAGAAACTAGGTTTTCCACTCTCTCAGACTGTTGCACTCATCTAGGTTTTTGGCATAATTTAAAGACCTATGCTGTGGACTCAGATTCCTAGTTTCTTGCTGGCTGTTCACCAGAGGCTGACAGTTCCTAGCAGTTGCTCCCAGGTTCCTTGGCTGTATGGCTCTCTTAGGACATTGCAGCTTACTCCTCCAAAGTGGGGCAGTCTTGTTTCATTGTGCTACAACAGACTCTTAACAAAGGGAAGGGTTATTCCACAAGTCCCACCTACTCTCAAGGGGAGGGAATTATACAAACTTGTGTAATCTTAGATTTCTGCCTATCATATGTCAGTGTAGAATTCTGTCTGAAAACTTTAAAATAAAATCTTCAATAATTGGAAAGTTTGCAAAAACTTTGCGTTTTCCTGTGCATCTGCCTTTACCCCCAATGTTAACTGCTTGGTATCCTCTTTCAATTTGGCAACTCATGTCCTTCAGTTGTGGAAAGTTTTGTGTTTATTTCATTGATTATTTCTTCCCTTCTGTTTTCTCCCTTGCCTCTTTCTGTGATTTCTATTTTTTTTGGATGTTTGGCTTCTTGAATCAGTCCTTCAATTTTATTACCTCTTTTCTCCTACCTTCTGTCTATCTTCATTCTGCTGCCTGGGAGATTTATTCAACTGTATTTTTTAATTCTTTGTGGATGTAGTGTCTTTTCATCTCCTGGAGATTGTCAGGGTGGTTTCTGAACCTTTTTCTTCCTGCATATAGTCTGCATTTTGTCCATTTTTTTTTCCTGGACTGTTCTGGTCTCTGTCTTTCAGTTTTCCTCTGATGTTTGTTAATCCTTGGATAACTATTTATGATTTAGAATTCAAAACTAAAAAGTTGATTGGAAGTTTTGAGAATGTTGATGAGACTTGTTGACTCAGCTCTATAGGGGGATTGGGCCTGGCTGCTTTTTGGCAGACCCCATTGTCAGTATCTTTAGACTTTTGGAGATTATTCGAGGTTCCCAGAAAAGCATCTTCCAATCTTCTGCTCAGGGACAGAGGTCTGACTACCAGCATTCTGAGAGATGAGCGGAAAGGAGTCTTGGGGCACAACTTTGTAACTTAATCCCCCCTGATTTTTGCATGAGGTCCACACTCTCGGCTGTTCCTGAAATGCCCCAGATTCCTACTGTCATAGACAGTTGCCTACACTCATGGATTCATGGAGGGGAATCTAGAGATCTAACTACTTCTCCAAAGCCTTGATCTGTTCCTTTTCATTTTAGAGCCTTTGTGTTATTTTGCTTTCAATATATCTCTTTCAGTTCCCTATATACCAGACCCTGATGGTTCCTGAGCAATTTTAGGATTATGCAGTTAAAACTGAATTGTTTCTTAGCTTTCCTTGTTATGACTGAAGATTTTGCATTTTAGGATCTTCTCCATCATTTAATATTCTGTCCTCCAGCTTTGAAAATATTGCTGCCTTTTTTCTTTTCTGTTCTTCACATATGTGTGCGTATCACTTAAAAAAAAAAATTCACTCGAGGTTGGGGATGTAGCTCAGTGATGGTAGTGTATGTGAGACCCTGGGCTCAATCCTTAGTACTACCAAATAATACACACACACTTCTGTGTAGTTTTCCTGGGATTTCTAAAAGGAATAAAATTACATGTGCATATTCAGTCTGCTATTTTAACTCACATGTCCCTCGTTTTTTTGTAATGTATCATTTATTATATCCTAAATTATGTACTACATATGAAAAAATTTAGTTCTCTGTTCTGTTTTCTTTAAAATATATCTATCAGTACCATGCTCTTTTTTTAATATTATTTTTTAGTTGTAGATGAACACAATATCTTTACTTATGTATTTTTATGTGGTGCTGAGGATCGAATCCAGTGCCTCACATGTGAGGGGCAAGCACTCTACCACCAAGCTACAGCCCTAGTCCCGAGCACCATGCTCTTTTATTTGTGTTTGTTTCTTTACAATATTCTTATTTTTTATGGTTGTATATTATATTTAACTCCTAAGTTGTATATAATATTTAAACTAATAGGTACATTTGAAGCATTAAACTTAGGAATTCATGAGATTATTTTATTAATGTATTTATTTCACAGACTTGTTTTTCAATTGTGACTTTATTAATAAAAGCTAATAGGAGGTTTTTAAATACAAATGTTGAAACATTATCATACAATGAAGACATTTTGTTCTTTTTTGTTTGTTTGTTTTGTTGTAAATGAAGACTGAAGTTGCTGAAGATCCTCAACAAGTTTCAACTATTCATCTCCAACTAGGATTACCACTGGTTTTTATTGTTAGCCAACAAGCCACGTATGAAGCTGATAGAAGAACTGCAGAATGGGTTGCATGGCGTCTTCTGGGAAAAGCAGGAGTTTTGCTCTTGTTAAGGTATCTTAACCACATTGAATATTCACTCTACTTAGCAATTACTAATATCGTTCTCATTTTTAATATGGCAACTTAGTCATATAAATAAACTAAAATCTGTAATAGATCCTAACATAGTTAGAACTTACTGCTGAGCTGAAGGCTATACATTAATTGTAAGCTTGACTAAAATTAAGATGGAGACTAGGAAATCCATTTTGTATTCATTTATATGTGAAATTTATCAGACCCACTAAATTGTAATCTTTATTCCTAAACATTTTGTAGCATGAGAACTTTTAGTTCTATTTTAGATTGACTTTCTGGATGACTATTATTCTTCAAATTGGCAACATAAAACATTTATTTCTGTTTTGAAAAAGGGACTCTTTGAAAGTGAACATTCCTCAGCACACCAATGTGATCTTCAAAAGAGCAGAACAGGTTAGTCATTTTATGTACTACCTATCATCAGTTTATGTAAAGAAAGTTAGTACATGTGATCCTAAAGTAACATGTTTATTATGGAAAAAAATTGTAAATTGTCACTTACAATTAAATCTCTTAATACGGTACATTTCCTCTCCCATTTTCCCCTAGGACAATGACTTTTTGGATAAATAGGTAGTTTTCCATATTCTGGATTTGTGTGTTTCTTTTTGCTTTTGTCTGCATTTTTACTGTGTTCCTTTCTATTTTCTATGAATTATTTTTAAGGTTGATTAGCTTCATTAAACATCTTGGGTAAAAATATTTCATAGTGCTGACTTCATTATATTCCATCCTACCCTAAAGTATTTGATGTTTATTTTTTCTCAATGATTCCATAGTTCAATCCCTGAGTTAAGGTGAGGAAAGCTAATTTTGCCCATTATAAGATACATTCTCTCTTTTCCACTTAGCAAATAAACTGAAGGTAGAAATGCAAATAATATCACAAGAGACACCAATATTTACCTTCTGGAATGCCTAAAGATTATTTAAAGAATAATACCTTGATAGAGATATGGAGAAACAAGAATTATAATATACTGCTAGCAGGAGTAAAAACTGGTAAATGAAAATAGAAAAACACTAGGCAGTGTTATTAAAGTTGAAGCTGCATATATCATACGAACCAGCAAATATATTCCTGGGTATGTAACCAACAGAAATTCACATGCATGTGCACCAAAAGACAACATTATTATATTATATTCATAGTTATATTATTTTTGATAGTCTCAAACTGGAAACAACACATGATCAGTAGAATGGATAAATAAATAAATTGGAATATATTTATTTAAGAAATATTTAAAAATACTGAAAAAGCTGTTTTTATATGTTATAAACCTGGGTGAACCTCACAATGTTGAGCAAAAGTAATCTCAAAAAAGAGTATAAATTGTATGGTTTTGTTTTATAAATTCAGAAATCAGCAAAATGTATAGGTGATGAGTATCTTAATTTGGCTGGGCTGCTGTAACAAAATACCACTAATAAGGTGGCTTATAAACAACAACAATTTATTTCTCATGGTTCTAGAGGATGGGAAGCACAAGATAAGGTGCTGGAAAATTTGGTGAGAGCCCATAGATGGTGCCTTCTCTTTGTGTCCTCACATGGTGGAAGAGATCTAATTCTCTGGGGTCTCTTTTATAAAGACACTAATTCTATTAATGAGAACTCTGCCCTTATGACCAAAGCACCTTTCAAAGAGCCTATCTCCTAATGTTATCACACTGGTGATTAAGATTACACAAATGAATGTTGGGGGGACACAAACATTCAAACCAGAGTTGTAATAAAGGTCTAAACAGTGACTGACTGCCTTGGCGAGAGGGGAATGACAGAAGGGCATAGATGATGGCTTCAAGGGAGCTAGTAATGTCTTATATCTTAATCAGTGCAGTGGTTATACAGGTATGACCTCTTTATAAAATTTCATCAGCCCCTACTGTCAAAATCTGTGTTCTTTTCTATGTGAATGTTATAATTCAGTGAACAAGTTTACATGCAAAATTTCTATATTATATTTGGAACAAATAAATTTGATTTATTTTGATTCTTCTACCTTTTAACACCATTATATTTTTGCAGGAGTAAAAAATTGTTTTGAGTATAATATTAAAAAAATAAAATATGTTATATGAAAGAATAAACATATTTGGAGTTCTTTCATAGCCTTATTACATTGTATAGTTATAGTCAGGGATGATTTGCTGAAATAACCTAATGACTTAAAATTTTCATGTTTTAAAAATGTAATAGTTGGGGCTAGGGTTGTGGCTCAGTGGTAGAGTGCTTGCCTAGCATGTGCAAGGCCCTGGGTTCAATCCTCAGCACCACATAAAGATAAATAAATAAAATAAAGACATTGTGTCTAACTACAACTAAAAATATTTTTTTAAAATGTAATAGTTGGATATTAGTGAAAAACTATTGAAGGAATAATATTTATCTCAACAGAATAGAATTTGATATGCTTAAAATGCCTGAGAACAGAAAGTCATTTTATGTTTATAATTAAACAGGAAATCGGACATTTTTGTGGAATTATTTTAAATAAAGTATTATTTTTAACATTATCTGTAGAATATAAAAATAACTGATTTTGATTGGTTCCATTTGCATTAAAATCATATATATTTCCATTGTATGTTGAGGTAGGGGGTGCTATTTATTATATTAATATTTTACAGACTTCAGTCTAAGGCAGTTGTGATAAGAAGCAAGAGAGACTGTCAGATCCTCTTTTTCAGTAGTGTGCACTGTCTTAGGGTGATGCTTTGGATGCTTTCCTTGTCATAGTAATTGTGTATTTCCTTTTTTTTTCCTTGAGAAAAAAATCAAAGTTTAGTTTCATTTTAGTGTCAAACAAGCGGAATGTTTTTAGGTTAACATGCTACGCTATATTTTAGTGATTTTTGTTTTAAAAAATAACATATTTCTAGGAAGTACCAGTGGAATTTTTGGAGTTATATGATGTTGACTTAATAATTTCCCATGTGGAAAATAATAATCACATTGAGGAAACACAAGAAGATGAAGACGATGACATGGAAGATCTAGACATGGGTAATAGTTGTAATGCTTGCTACCTCCTTTACTGTCCTGACACCTATACGTTTGGTGAAGTTTATAGTGGGTTAACTTTCTCATAGAAAGTATCACATTCAAAACTCTGTGAAGCAGCCTGGAGAAATTTATTTTGAATCACATTTTATCAAGTTGATTAGGTAAAAAGATGTAAGAATGCTGTGGTTTGTTTAGTGCATACCTTTCTTGGTACACATCAGCATTCTAACTTTCCACAGCTGTGCTTTTTATTCTCCTAATCAGTTCTCTCAGTCCTTTTGGCCTGCTTCATGTTTAAAAGTCCATCCAGAAACCACAATATATTTCATTTTTTAAAATTATAGCTTTATAGTTATGCAGAGAATCTGGGTTCATCCTGACAAACTCATACTGCATGGAATTAAATTTCAGTTCATGATCTCTTTCCCTACCTGTTTCCCTCCTGTGCACCTTCCTTCTCCCATAACAACATATTTCATTTTTATTATTTTTAGTAGGAAATGAAATTTTGTAGTGTTTGTAGTTATAAATTAGTCTGATTATTAACAGAATAGAGAGTAAATTTCAATAACATTTTATTAATTCTTTTTTAATTGATTTTTTTAAAAAAATAAATGATAGCAGAATGCATTATAATTCTTATTACATATATACAGCACAGTTTTTCGTATCTCTGGTTGTATATAAAGTATGTTGACATCAATTTGTGTCTTCATACATGTACTTTTAGATAATGATGTCCATCACATTCTACCATCCTTGCTAATATCCTGCCCCTTCCCATTCCCTCCCACCCCTCTTCCCTATCTAGAATTCATCTATTCCTCCCATGCTCTCCCTCCCTACCCCACTGTGAATCAGCCTCCTTATATCAGAGTCTGAAACATTCTTTTCTTGATTCTCTAATTGGGAGAATTTGGATCTCCTAATCTAAATTTTCCTGTTACAAACTCTCTATCTCTTACTTTTATTCATAAACTGTTAATTTACCATTACATATTTATTCATTTATCAAGTTTATTGTCTGGCTTTTCTATAGATAGAAGCACCATGTGGTCAGGGATTGTGTGTCTGTTATTTTTGACATTTGCCCTAGTATTTATCACAGTGTTTGGCATATAGTAGAAGCTGAATAAGCACTGTCAAATATGTATGGTAGAGTCTTTTAGAGCTGTAAATTAATATAATGATTGGAAAGAAAATAGCAATGCTTATATTATTTGTAGAACAAAAATAAATAATTATTTCTAAACTAAACTTTGTAACTAGTCTGAACTTTGTAACTTCTAGATCAGAAAGCATCTTAGTGTTATTTCAGATAGGAAGCCAGACAACTGGAAAGTCTTCTAAATATACATTTTAAATACTTAGTATGTATTTAAAAGTTTTTTTTATAACAAAGTACCAAATTTTCATTTGCTTGCTTATAAGTTTAAATATTTTTAATTATACAACCAAAATTAGTTCCTTTTTTAAACATTTTAGATATTCAAGATGATGAAGTTGCAGAAACTGTTTACAGAGATAGGAAGAGACAGTTACCTTTGGAACTGACAGTGGAACTCACAGAAGAGACATTTAATGCAACAGTAATGGCTTCTGACAGCATAGTGCTCTTCTATGCTGGTTGTAAGTATGAGCCTATAGAGGAGACTGCAATACATATTAGGACATTTAAAGTAGAATTTATTTTTGAATTCTCTAAAGTTCACATTGTAAAAATAACAGCTTTCCTATGTCCCAAATAGACTGCACATATTGAAACATTTACTTCTAACTGATTCTAAGGAATAAAACTGATTTTATATATCTCTATGAATGTGATTTACGAATTGAAGGCTAATCATTAAAATAGGTATTTAGCTAATTAATTTGAAGACTATTGATTCATGCCAATGATTTTAATATATTAACAGTTCTTATAGATTTATGGGAAATATATACTTTTATCTTCAAATAATAGTCTTTCAACTATATTATTTGCAGTATGAATGTAGAGAGTTGCATTTGGAGCCCTTTTAAGTGGTTGGACAATATTGAGTACTCTCTACTATATTTCTTGTTTGGAAATCATAACTTTGGGTAAACCTATATGTTTGTTATATATAAGTATGGGTGCTTCGGAGATAAACATCTTGTAATATCTATTGAATTTTTTTATTTTAATCTAGGGCATGCAGTATCCATGGCATTTCTACAGTCCTATATTGATGTGGCAATTAAATTAAAAGGTATTATATTGTGATATACATGCTTATTTTCCTGATTTCTGAGCTGTAATCTTTTTATAAAATGGTGTCATCCTAAAGATATAGAAAACCACATAAAATTTCAGGTTGTTATGTTTATGTATCCAAGGTTAAATTAAATTAAGAGTATCAAAAATGCTTAGAAGCTGGGCATGGTGATGCACTGCTATAATTCCAGCAGCTCAGGAGGCTGAGGCAGGAGGATGGAGAGTTCAAAGCTAGACTTAGCAATTTATTGAGGTACTAAACAACTCAGTGAGACTCTGTCTCGAAATAGAATATGAAAAAGAGCTGGGGATGTGGCTCAGTGGTTGAGTGCCTCTGAGTTCAATCCCACGTACCAAAAAAAAAAAAAAAGTGTTGAGAAGCCTTCACTTTGATTATTTCACGGGACTTCTAGTAGAAACAAAGAGAGTCCGTGTATTAAGTACTTATGGCTACCCATTGTACCAGTGACCTTTTTGGCTAAATTCAGTCATTCAGCAAACATTTATTGAGTGCCAATTATTATTAAATACTGAAGATAAAAATTTGAAAGATAAGACCCAGTCTCACAGTCTATCAAAGATCCAAGATCCCTGTGTTCTTGAAGCTATATAATTACCTCCT